AATTGTTGATGTTAACCTTGATCATCTGGCTGAGGAAGTGTTTGTCAGATTTTTGTAAAGTTATTATAAAGTTTTTCTTTTACCACATTCCTTCATACTCTTTGGAACAAAACCATGCATAGCCCACACTTGGGAGGGGAGGAGTTATTCACTACCTGCTGGAAGGGGAAGCACCTATGTAAATAATTGGGAATTCTGCATGTCTATCTTCCCTCATTAATTAATTAATTTAATCATTTATTCATATCAATATGGGCTTATGATTATTTATTTTATATTTTGCATTACAATCCTTCCTTTCATCCTCCCTCCCTTCCTCCTCCCTCTCTCCTTCCTTCCTCCTTCCCTTCCTTCCTCCCTCCCTTCCTCCTCCCTTCCTTCCTTCCTTCCTCCTTCCCTCTCTCCCTCCTCCCTCCCTCCTTCCCTCTTTCCTTCCTTCCTGGTACAAATTGTTCCAGCTTGGCCATTGGGAGCTCTTTCAGTGGGCTTTTTGATTATTTCCTAAATTTTTGGCACTGAAAGATGCTCTAGGGTTATTTTGTATATTTCTTCCCCCCGGTCCTACAATCAGTCATTTCTCCAGGGAGCTTTCTTTTTTCCTAATGGTATTAGTCAGGGTTTTCCAAAGAAACAGAACCAAGCAGACATATATATATATATCTATACATATATATGCATAGATATAAAAACACATTACAGATTTATGACATATACAATACACAGAATTACATATACATACATATAATTATATATCATAAATCTATAGTAAATAAATGTTTTATATATATAATATATATAATCACATGAGCCAATTCCTTATAATAAATCTTTTTTTGCATCTATCTATCTATCTATGATCTTGTATGCATGTATATATATACAAAAAGAGATTTATTAGAAGCCATTGGCTTGTGGGATAATGGAGGCTGGCAAGTCCAAAATCTGCATAGCTGCTGTTCCAGTTCAAATCCGAGGGCTGGCAGGCTGTTGCAGAGCCAGGAAATGTTGGTGTCCCAGTTTGAAGGCCATCAAAGCAAGAGAATTGCTTATTTAGGGGAGGGTCAGCCTTTTGTTCTCTCTAGGCCTTCAAAGGATTGGATGCAGCCCACCCACATTATGGAGAGAAATCAACTCCATGCAAACTACCAATTTAAATGTTAATCTCGTCTAAAAACATCCTGACAGAAATGCCCAGAATAATTTTTGACCAAATATCTGGGCACCTTGTGGCCTAATCAACTTCACACATAAAATTAACCATCACACTAATACTGGGTCATGGAATTAGAAACCAAGACCTGGGTACTCGACGTACTACTGGAGTGTCATTGTTTCCAGGTGCCCTTAGGTGGTGGAGTGAAAAACCAAAGTGTACATTCTAGCATTTCCCTGCATATACACACATCTATAAATGTTACCATATGTAACCAACTGTATCTCTACTAAACTAACCATAAGCTCATGCTGATGTCTACATCTTTAGTTCGTTAACATAAAGATCACTTTAGCTTTCTCCTTTGCTTCTATGTAAACTCGCCCCAACAGTGAGAAACCTGGCTCTAAGCATCTGCCATCCATTTACTTAATTTTTCAACACCAGTGTATGTGTGTAGTGACTTCACAATTGTCATACCTTATCCCTGTGGGAATCAACCTTATCGACTACAGCGTTTACTATAATAGCCCCTCTTAGCCTTTAGTCTTACAGATTCCACTCATTTCCAAAGTTACTTAGGTCAGCCTTTTTTTTTAAAATCTCCAAACCCTTTCATGAGGTTGTTTCATACATTTGTAATACAGTAGTTCTTTTTTTTACATTCCATCGTGGGATTGCTCAATCTCATAAATTATTCCTTTTTAATTTCGAATATTAAAGTTCACTCTTGTGCTACAAAATTCTGTGAGTTTTAACAAATTCAGAGTGCCGTGAATTCACCATTACAGTATCATACAGAAAAGTTTAACTACCCTAAATAAGTCCTCCTGTGCTTCACTTATTTAACCTTGCAAAAGTCTTTTGCCTTTCCATATAAATTTTAGAATCAACTTGTTGATGATCAACAAAAGAGCTTGCTAAAATTTCAATTGAGATTGTGTTGAATCTATATAGGAAACTGGGAAGAATTGAGATCTTAATAATACTGAATCTTCTAATCCATAAATATGCAATATCTATTCATATTTACACTTTTGATTTCTTCGATCAATATTTTATAATTTTCCACACATAGGTGCTCTTCATATTTTATTAGATTGATATATAAGTACTTAATTTTTGGTACTACTATAAATGATACTTTTTTTATTTCAACATTCAGTTCTTTACTGCTGGTATATAAAAAAAATGACTTTTTTAATAGTAATCTTGCATACTACAACTTTGCAATATTGGCTTGTTTTTTCCAGGAGATTTTTGACAAAGTCTTTCAGATTTCATACATAGACTATCATGTCATCTGGGAATAAAGACAGCTTTATTTCTTCACTTCTAATCTGTATAATTTATATTGCTTTCTCTCATCTTATTGCGCTGGTTAGAACGTCCAGTACGATGTTGAATAAAAGTGGAGAGAGAACACATGCTTGTCTTATTCTCAACCTCAGAAGAAAAGGGTCCAGTCTTTCACCAGTAAGTGTGATGTTAGCTATAAGTTTTTTTTAATGTTCTTTACTAAGATGAGGAACTTGTCCTCTATTCCTTGTTTGGTGAGGGTTTTTTTTTAAATCAAGAATGGATGTTGGATGTTATATAATTTTTTCTGCATTAATTAATATAATCATATGATTTTTCTTCCTTAGCCTTTTGCTATGGTGAATGACATTGATTTTGAATGCTGAATCGGCCTTTCATGTCTAGAACAAATCTCATTCATTGTGGTGTAGAATTCTTTTTATACATCATAGGACTCAATTTGATAATATTTTGCTGAACATCTTCATATTCATGATCATAATAGATATTAGAGTGTACTTTACCTTTCTGGAAACCTCTTTATCTGGTTTTGGTATTAAAGTAATGCTGTCCTCATAGAATGAATTAGAAAGTGTTCTTCCTGCTTCTATTTTCTAGAAGAGACTGTCAAGAATTGGTACCATTTCTTTTTTAATTGTTTGGTAGAATTAACTGATGAAAATATCCAGGCCTGGTGCTTTCTTTTTTGGAAGGTTATATATTATCGATTTGATTTCTTTAATAGATACAGGACTATTATCATTATCTGTTTCTCCTTGTGTAATCTTCAGTAGTTTTGTGTCTTTCTGATTTGGCCCATTTCATCTAAATTATCAAATTTGTAAGTATAGAGTTGTTTGTAGCTTTTCTTGATTATAGTTTTGACATCTATGCACCATAAGATTTTAATTTAAATCCATATATGCATATACGGGGTTTTAACCTCCTTTTTGTGTATTGCTATATCCTAAATAAAATTCTTTGCCAATTATTTTACTTTCCATTATTCCTCATGGGAATATTAGTGTGTGGTGAGTAGGCTTAGATTTTGGAAGCCAAATGTCATAAATCTGGTATTAGGTAAATTCTGTGCAGAAAGTGAGTTGGTGCCAAAATGAAAGGCTACCTCTGCTCCCCTGCAGGGTTGGTTGGAGGGGAACACAGCAGGATACTGATACAGCAAGATCCAGAAATACCTTTATAAATTAGCCAATCCATGAGAATTTCTCTTGTACTGAGGGTTGGGGTTAGGGGCATGGAGAAAACGGACTGGAAACAGTAACTGGCCCTCAGGAAGTAGAAGTTAACAGATCATCCTTGAATTGTATCCTGTTTTCCCTTAACCATTCTTAGAAGTCAAAGCCTGCCAGGGCACACCTAGATGGGATGCGAGACCATCACATCAGGGCAATAGGAGCTGACTTCTTTGAGCCACTACGAGAAGCTTATGAGTTAAGGAAGAGGGAGTTTCCATTCTTATTCTGCCTTCACACTTCAAGAAATCAGCATCTAAGTTTTGTGCCTGAGTTTTTGGACCCTTAATTTGTCCAGCTGTAGAGTTTTCAATTTTTTCATGTTGTGAGGATTATTGGAATTCACATCCACATACATACACCCTCCTGTATTTGTACTATTTTCTCAGGATACATTTCTAGAAGTATAATTCCAGTTCAGGGATATACAAAATTTAATTATTCTTCATACACCTTGTCAGGCAAGTTTCTAGGTCATGAAGGTAATTGCAAGCAAAAATCAGATATCTTATTCTCTTGCTGATGTTCTTTTGCTGTAATTGGACAGTAATATATTTCTCTGGGCATTAGGGGTGGCCACTGGGGCAGGTGGCAGAGAAGTCTTGGAGACCAAGTTAGAGAGATTAAGCTGCTACTATCTAATACAGGCAGTAAAAATAATTTTATAATGATGGTAGACCAGATCCCTGCCACTCCACTTGCCAAACATTTGTATGGAATCTGATCTGGGAAGGAATCCTGAATATCAGGATACCAAACGGCAGTTTGTTGAAACTGTCTGAAGGAAGGGAGTAAAGTACATGGGTATTGGGAGTATCCATCACATGATAAGGCATTTGTCCAATGAAAAAGCTCAAGAATCAAAAGTGATAAAGCAAGTCAATACTATACCATAAATTATATTATAAATCTGCTTTATTGCAATTAGAAGAGAGCAAAGAACAGAAAACATCACAGGGAAACAAACCCTGTTTATCACACACCTGGTTACTTGTGCTTTCATAACCATTGTGAGGGAGGACCTCAATATTTGAAAGATGGTGAATTCCTGGGCCAGTAAAAGCAAGAAGAAGTTGTCCTATTCTGGAGTAGAACCCCCGCAGTGACCTCCTGATGGTGAGTGATGGAAACTCAGGTGGAGCACGTAGAGCCAGTGAGGAGAAATGAAGGCACTCAGTAACTCTAGCTCAAACTCAGAAAGTAAGAGAAATCAGAGACAGGAGAAGAGAAGTAGCCTGAGAGGGCAATGCGGCTATTGACGGGGACAACGTGGGACCAAGAGCCGATGGCAAGACTTAGTGCTGGTAGCTCTTCCTGCTGGAGGATGAGGTGGTGGTGTATTTGATGGTGGAGCTGCTGCCCCCAGAGGAGCTGAAGCCAGCCCCCATGCCTCTGCCACTGCCGGAACTGAAGCCGCCTCCAAGGCTGTGGCCGCTGCTGTAGGAGTAGCCGCTGCCTCCGCCCAGGCCTGAGCCACCGCCCACAGCGCTGGCGTTGCCATAGCCGCCAGACATGGTGGACTGCACCACAGCTGTGAAGGGGACAGGCACAAAGACACCCAGGGCACGGTGAGCTCACTCTGCCAGCCTCAGTCCAGTCAGAAGGGCACAAGGGCAAGGGAGGGAGGCGAGCAAAGGTACTTACAGATGTTGACTTGTCCAACGCCTTCCCCACTCAGCCTAGGAAGGGAAAAAACACAGGGAGCATGAGACCTCAGAGAGCTACCAGTGGACCAGAGCGGGAAGCGTCGATGTGAGGAGAGCCCATGGGGAAGCTGCCTTTGAAATGGTTCTCTGAGAGCAGCCATTATGGCCATAACTAGGGTGCCTCATGGCCTGACCTCCTGAACGTGGATCCAAGATGTTTGAGGGGCTCCTGTGAGTTCCCCACCTGCACTCCTCGCCCTCCAGCAGCTTCCTGTAGGTGGCGATCTCCACATCCAGGGCCAGTTTGACATTCATCAGCTCCTGGTACTCCTTCAGCAGCCGGGCCATGTCCTGCTTGGCCTTCTGCAGGGCGTCCTCCAGCTCAGCCAGTTTGTTCTTGGCATCCTTGAGGGCCATCTCCCCGCGCTGCTCAGCATCAGCGATGGCGGACTGCAGGTTGGCACACTAGAGGAGGAACACAGGAGAATGAACTTGTGATTCAGTCCTCCGGAGGAGACTAACCACACTTCTTCTTCTAGTGAGGTAGAGTTCCAGCGCCCAGATATCATAGAAAGGGACTTCTGCCTCTTTTTGCCCAGTCTTTTTCTGTTCTGCACAAGTTAGCTTGTCTGGGACCCATAGGAGAAAACTTGTGCCCTTTTTTAACCATCCTGCACTGCACTGGACAAAATACCAGCAGATTTGGAAGAAATGGACCCACTCATTTCTTTTGAGTGCTGTCTCCAAAGCCAGACCAGGACCTTTTCTGAGGACCTCATGTGGATGCCACACTAACTTATACAAAATAAGGAGCATCCTCACTTAAGGAGACGAGTGTCCCATGGAGCTGTGGAGATCTTGCCTTCCTCACTCCTAAGGGATTCTAACACACTTGGGCAACACTGATCATCACCCTGGATCCTTGCTCAACTTTCTTTTTCAGCTGAATCTTGAGCAGATTTGGGACAATCTTGCCCCCCTTCTGGCCTCCCCTTTTCTTTCCTGACTTGTTTCTTATGTTCCTAAACCAACCATTCTCCTTACGTAATATCTTTTAAAAGCCCCAAGACTATCTTTTTACAGTCAGACTAACTGGGATTGTTCCTGTCACCTGATTGTATCATTCTGTAGTGTTGGCATCCGTGTGTCCCAACCTGTGGGAACTCACAAGGGTGGGAGCTACGTGTCCTCCTCTCTCTGCTGTTCCCTCAATTCCCAGCATTTCCCAAATGGTGGCTGATGACCCCCTGGTGGTGTAGCAAGGAAAGGATGCTTTTACTCTCCAGAGCCCCCTACCATACCTGCTTCTTGACATGGTCGATCTCGGATCTCAGCCTCTGGATCATGCGGTTGATCTCAGAAATCTCCTGCTTGGTGTTGCGCAGGTCATCCCCGTGTCTGCCTGCTGTGATTTGCAGCTCCTCATACTGGAATCCAGAGAGAGAGAGACAAGGCGGTGTATGTGGGCTTTCACGTGCCAACGGTGACTTGACTTCAGAACCAGGCATTTAACACACTTGGACCTAGTGGCTTCTCCCCAAGGGATTTTAGGGAAAGTTGTTGTTTTGTAGCCTTGCTGGTGTTCAGGTAGGGGACCCAGGCATTCCTGGGCAGCTGTCAACTCAAGGCTCACCTTGCTCTGGTACCAGGACTCAGCCTCAGCCCGGCTCCTTTGAGCGATCTCCTCATATTGGGCTTTGACTTCAGCGATGATGCTGTCCAGGTCCAGGTTACGGTTGTTGTCCATGGACAGGACCACAGAAGTGTCAGAGATGTGGGTTTGCATCTGAGCGAGTTCCTGCAGAGCAGAAGATCGTCAGATCATCTTCTCCTGTGGCATTCCAGAGGTACCCAACCCCAAGATCTTCCACCCTTTGCAGAGCCCCATCACAGCAAATAAAAGAGGAGTGGAGATGCTTACTGCGTCATACAAGGCTCTGGTGAAGTTGATCTCATCTGTGAGAGTGTCTACCTTGGCTTGCAGTTCAACCTTATTCATGTAGGCAGCATCCACATCCTGGGAAATAAGCCAACAACTTGGCGTGAGTCAGCCGAGCCCTCCTTCCCAGTCTGAACACCTTTTAGTCTCCCCATCTATTCCCCTCTGGATGTGTGCAAAGACCCAGAGTCCTCTCCCTCTACAAAGGAACACGATCCCCAGACCTTCATCGGCTCACCTTCTTCAGAGTCACAAATTCATTCTCTGCTGCTGTGCGCTTGTTGATTTCATCTTCATATCTAGAATTAGAACAGGGTAAGACACAATTGACCCAGTGGTGAAGATGATACAGCAAGATCAGCCCGGGATCCCAACCTTCCATAAAACAGATATATCCAAATTGAGCTTTCCTGCCATTGAGCCACAAAAACGATTTTTTGGTGCTCCCTCAATTCCTCCTATCTTTTCTCTCCCCACCCACCTCTGTGGCCCATTTGTTCTTTTGGGGTTGTTTTTAGGTAATAGCTATGATTTTCATTTCCATGGGCCTGTTTCCCTATGGAACCATGCCCACCTCTAGACCTGGTCACCTGGTAGTCTTCAAGTGTGCGCTTCAGGGAACTGAACCCCTTTCTGTCCTTGAACTCACTTGTTCTTGAAGTCCTCCACTGTATCCTGCATGTTCCTCAGCTCTGAGTCCAGGCGGCCCCTCTCCCCCAGGATGCTGTCCAGCTGTCTCCTGAGGTTGTTGATGTACTGCTCAAACAAGGGCTCCAGGTTCTGCCTTACGGTCTTGGTCCCCTGCTCCTGGAGCAGAGTCCACTTGGTGTCCAGGACCTTGTTCTGTTGCTCCAGGAACCGCACCTGGAGGAAGACAACAAGGTGGTTACTTGCCGGAGAAAGCAAAGGAGAAAGAGATAGGAGTTGTCAGGTGCCCAGGTGTGCCTGGGATGTCACCCAGCTCCTGGGCTACTACAGAGCACGTACAGAGGATCAGGCTGACCGTGTTGGGCCCCCAAACCTATTTCCTTCCCACCCCAGTGATCCTGCTGTGAAATTCTTCCATCACCTATGAGGTTTTCTCACCGGCTAAGCTATGCAGCCTATCAGTGACGTTCAGCATTTCCTCTGTTTTCATTGAAAAGCACAATCACACATTTCCCTGTTACGTTGCACAAAGTTCTTTTTAATTCATACCTCAGTTAAAGGCGTATTAAATGTGCAGAATCTAATGATTAAGTCCAATTGAGTCAATGATTGGATTCCCATCACTAAAACTTCTGTTTTGGTACATGGTTCTCCTCTGCAACAAACGCTCTAATAGTCATGCTCTGGTTCTACACGGTTAGTATTTCTAGGGATATATAAACGTTTCATCCAGGCAGAAATCCCTTTCTTTTCTTTTTCTTTTCACTCTTTTCCTCATGCCCAGAGTCCTCGAGGAGAGTTCCACCGGCATTATTTTTTTAGTCTCTAGGCATCTTCAGAAGGTAAAGCTAACCCATTCCGTTCTGCCTTATCTTGCCTTATTTGCTTCATGCTTATCAAAAGTCGAGTATTCTTCCCTGGCAGGGATGAAGGACACTTAAGAGACCCAGTGGTTTTAAATGATCTCCATCACCTCTGCCTGTTGTGGTCATGGAGCCCAACCGGCATCCCAGGGGAGAGCTAGTCTCAGTCCCCTTCTGCCTCCCTCCTGAGTCTCCCCCGGCAGGACATGTGTCGGTTGTCTAGTTTGGGGGCTCTGAAATCCCAGTGGAGGCAGGTCTTCCTGGCTCACCTTGTCGATGAAGGAGGCGAACTTGTTGTTGAGGGTCTTGATCTGCTCCCGCTCCTCAGTCCTCACCCGCTGGATGGTGGGGTCGATTTGCAGGTTCAGAGGAGTGAGGAGATTCTGGTTGACGGTGACCTCTTGGATGCCTCCAGGGGGGCACACAGGGAAGCCCGAGCCCCCATAGCCACCAGCGAAGCCGGGTCCACCACCGAGCCCAAAGCCACCCCCAAAACCAAATCCACTTGCGGCTCCACCTCCATAGCCCAAGCCACCTCCAACTCTGCCCCCATATCCGCCACTGATGGCACAGCTGCCCCCTCCGATGGAGATCCTCTTGGAGCCCGTCAGGCCATAGAGGCTCCTGCTGCCAAAGCCGGCTCCTCCACACACTCCACCGAAGCCACCACTGCCCCTGGAGCGGGACACAGAGACGCTGCTGAAGCCAGAGCGGCAGCCCCCTGGGACTCTGGCTGAGCTGGCACTGAAGCCACGGTGGCCGATGCTTTGGCTCCTCATGGTGGATTTGCTAGACATGGTTCCTGAAGAGGAGAAGACTGAACAAAGTGTGAGAGGCTGGAGGGTAGAGCGGAGAGGAGCAGATCAGTGAGATGAGCCTCCCAAGAGAGGTTTATATATGGTAGAAATGGGTTGGGCTCCGTCCTGGAAGGTGAGCTTGCAGATTGGGAAGGGCTGATCCTTACAAATAGTGAGATCAGCCCCAGCCTCTTAAAGGTATGAAATGTGAAGATTGCTTCTTTGGCTTCCTTTAGTCATGGAGAAATTCTCCTGCCTTCTAGCCCTGATCATCCCAACACAATAAGGCTGGATATGTATTCACTGAAGTCATGAGTTAGTCATGTTCTCAAACAAAGAAGAGAAGGAGCTGATCTGTGATAATTGTCCCTTCCTTCTGCTTACTCAGACACTCCTCTGTGTGCCCCCTTCCCACACAGGTTTTCACCTCTACCAGCACCACCCTTCCCATCAGGGTGGGACTGACTCTGAGTTCTTATAGGCATTTGCCCAAAGGCCTGAGCAAGAAGTGGCCTGCAGTGTTTTTCACCATGTTTGTACCTGTCCTTCTGGAACTCCTGGCTGTTCTTCCTGGTGGCCTGTGCATGGAAATGGGGGCTATTTGGGGGACGTAATCGTCTTTTGAAAAGCAAAGGGACAGAAGAGTTGAGTTTTTACGCCGTGCAGTCAGCATTTGCTCTCTGTCCTGTGCGATAAAGCTGGCCAATGGCAGTTTCCTGAGAGGACAGGAGACATCACCAAAGGCCACTCGCTGGAGACCTGACTTCTGCACCTCCCTCCTCAGTGCTTGCTTCCCACTGATCTGTTATTATGCAAAATTTTCTTTCCAACTGGCCTCCACAGACACCTTTTTCTCTCCTGGTTTGGAATGTTCACTTAGAACTTAAGGAATCTAAACTGAGTAGGACATAGATCACTGAGGAATTCACTGAATTTTTATTTTAACAGACTTTGATGCTTCTTAGGAATCAAGAAGCAGACACTTTAATGGGGTGTGTACATATAGAAACATATAGAAACAGTGAATCATAAAAATGTGCCCTTACATGTGTGATTACGTCACAAATAAATTCCAAATTTCTATTTCTAATCTCAGCACTTGAAATCTGAAATGGCTACACACCTCAGGGAAAGAGGGCTGTGAGTGAGTGTGGTGTTTGGCCTGGAGAGGAATGAGGTCCATTTTTCCCAGCCCACACATGAAGTCCTGAGCACCAGGAGCACTGAGAACAGTTACAGGCAGGCCGTTCTGTGAGAACACATGGGTAAATGGCAACCAGCGGAGGAAGGACAAACTTGCACATTAAGATGACCTGAGAAAAGCTCCTGTTACTATCTTAGAAATGTCCCATCTCTCCAGTGTTTTGGGGTGCCCAATATCCAGGAGGGCAGGTCATTTCCTGCCCAAAGGAGGTGCTTTCTAAGCATAGGGAAGAGATACCTTCTCAAGACAACAGAAACAGCTCCCTTCTTTCCACCCTGGTTGCACAATGACTGACCAAGAAATGTGCTTCCACCCAGTTCTGGGAAAGAAGTGTTCTTTCCCATGGCAAGACTTTCTGCTCTGTTCTACTGTCTTGGGATAGAGGCTCTGAGTTTGGCTAGATGATGCAGGAGGGGTAGGAAGCGTTGGCGAGTGAGACGGGAACAGCACACATTTTCCCCAGTATTTGTATCTATAGCTGCTTTCATAGTGCAATGGTGGAGTTGGGTAGTTGCTACTGAGAGGGTACGGCTTGCAAAACCTAAATGGTTTACTATGTGGCCCTTTAAAGAAAATGTATGTCAACCCCTGGTTAAGAGCATGGGCTCTGGAGACAGAGTGCTCAGACTCATAACGAGGCTCATGTGTGTCTTTTTGAAAAGTATTCATTTTTACGGCTGTAAAGTGGGGGTGAAAATAATACCTGCCTCACAGTGTTGCGGGGATTGCCGGAAATAATGCAGAGGCCTTAGCATAGGACCTGCACGGAAGTGCTCCGTTAAGATGAGCTAATATCATTATTATAATGCAAGTAGGAAGAAGCTTGGGTGGTTCAGGGATACACGAGAATCCTCAGGAACTGGAACACAGGTGCAGCTGTGTGTGTGGCGGAGGGGGCGGGGCTGGAAGAAATGATACCAACGCTGCAGGTTTGTGTCATATTGGTAAGGGCCTGGAAGCCAAACATGGGGCTTTGCACTTGCTCCCAGAAGCAGTACAGCGCCATGGAAGCCAGAAGAACAACAGAAGCAGAAGTATGATTTATAAGCTTACTGGTGCTCTGAGCAGCAGGCCAGGCAAAATCTCTGCTCGGGGGCAGAGGCAGTTCCTTGCCTAAGTGGTTGGAGGGAAATTGTGGCCAGAGAGAAGGAGGATCTGTGTCTTTGGCGGGAGCCCAGCAGACGGCTCTCTCTGTCCTGTGTGGAGTCGGGCTCCCCTGGGCCATCCTCTGCTGGGTTCTGCCCTTGGGGCGGTGCATGCAGGGACAGGTGACCAACCAACCCAGGTGACCAGATCAGTGCCTCCTTTACTACTGATTTTATATCTTTTCCAGGGTGGGAGAAGACTCATCCCTGAATAAAAAGTGTGTAATTCTGTTGTAGCGAGAACCTCACATTCAACTAGTTAGCCAGTCAAAGGATGGTTTCACTTGAACATATTATCCACTTCCCAGCTTGGCATGTGCACCAGATAGCTCCAGCAATATGAAGTATTATGTTTCATTTCCTGACACATGTTTTTCTCCTATCAATAGATTTCTAAGACATTACATATTATTTTATATTCTATTCTCTCTAATATATATAAAGATGTATTTTTTCCCCCAAATTCTCATCACTACCTGCCAGGGAATGATGCCCTGGGAACCAATTCTGGTGACCCTGACCATGCGTGAGGTCAGCTAGGACCACGGGCTCCTACGACAGTGGAGGGGGAGTTAGAGAAGAGGGGCCCCATGGCAGGTCCATTTCTGATTTCACTCTTTTCCTGTCCCACCACCCTTAAGAGGTTAAGTTTGTACTTGATTCATTTGCCCTTGATTTTCTGTATCTTCTACATTCCACTTTGACCCTGCCATCCTGGGCTAAGCTGTCCTTTTCCTCCTCTAGAGTCCAGTCTCCTGCCCCTCTGCTCCTGCTTCCACACTCAGGAGAGGGCTGTGCTCACAGGCAGTGGGGACCCACTGGATGGTCAGAAGAATTGATTTCTCCAATGAAATCTCCCCAGTGTTCCTGAATCATGTCCCATGGTGGTTATATTTTCCCAGAGGAGCAGGGTGGAGAAGGCCAGACCTTCCTAACAAGATTCAAACAAAGGGTGATAGTTCAGGCAACTATGTGAGAGAAACTAAAAGCAAGCAATGTGAGTAAAGCCAATGACAGCCGGCCTCCTCTCCAACAGGCTGCCAAACCCAGCCTCTTCCCTCTGCCAGGACAGCCTCCAATCAGTGCTGTTGTCTGATGGCTTTGGAATGAAGGTCTTTGTTCCAGGGCCCAGGGGTTCACCTGTGCTCCTTGCATTTTTTCCGTCATGGAGGAAGGCAGGAAGGAAGCCCAGAAGCCTGAGCCCATGCAAAGTCTGCCTCAAGAGGATTTGCCTTGTCTTTCTGCCTCCCTGGATGGAGCTGGCAGATGAGACTGAGGGATAGACTATTGTCATCATCCATCAAAAGTTTAAGACTAAGTGCCTAATCCTGCCAGCCCCAGTGCAGGATGATGCTGTTCAGAGGGAATTCCACAGACCCAGTTCTGTCCCTTGGGAGCACCCACTGGAAGAAAAACACTTGCATCCACCTGTGTCAAGACAGTAGCACCCTTGGGCGCCTGGGTGGCTCAGTTGGTTGAGCGGCTGCCTTCAGCTCAGGTCGTGATCCTGGAGTCCCGGGATCGAGTCCCACGTCGGGCTCCCTGCTCGGCGGGGGGTCTGCTTCTCCCTCTGACCCTCTTCCCTCTCGTGCTCTCTGTCTCTCATTCTCTCTCTCAAAAAAATGAATAAAATCTTTTTTAAAAAAAAAGATGGTAGCACCCAAGTTGGAGTAGAAAGGCAGCCTTCTATGCTCCATAGAGCAGTTCAGGCAGTATGGAAACTTCCAGAACTGCATGACTTAGTAACTAAGGCTGTCGTGAACATTTAGTATGCACTACACTGTAGAACTTCCCTTGTATTTCTCAATTTCTACACACACGGCCCATCCATTTTTGCAGAGAGCACGGTGAAGGGGTCATATATCTGGACATGAAATCTGAGTGGCCTTACCCACAGATGTTGGACGATTCTGACAACTCCTGTCTTCCAGTGGGATGAGGCTCTACCTCTTCCATAACAACTGGGGTGGAGGAGAGCCTAGTCAGACCTCCCCAGGGGCTGACAAAATCTCCAAAAGTTGCCGGTGGCCTGGTTTCTGTTTCTCTCCACAGCCTCCCTCATGTCCCCGCCTCCTTTCTGCATCCTGCCTCCTCACCACTGAAGGGTCCCCTTACTAGCCTGTGTCATTAAAAAAAAATTGTATTTGGGTAAAAATACTCCAGCAACCCTCCAGGGAGATACACAAAGACCTGGTTTAAATATTGTAAGTGGTTGGATGAGATGCAGCCTATGGGACGATGTCTTACTACGTCTGCCTTCTGGTGTGACTCTCTTCATGTCAGTAAAGGGGGGAACATCTGGTTAATAATGGATACATTGGGTAACTCCCCCCAATTTGGGATGGTTTGCAGTAATTCCTACCCAAAAATGCATCTCAAAATCATCTGACTCTTAGTATGAACATCCTAGGGAGCAAACATGCCTCAAACGTGCTCCTCTGAGATTTCTTGGCATTTAATGGCAACTTCCATCTGTTAATCTTTTGTAATCTCACTTTAAGCCTGGGGTTGGGATTAGTGACAGATCTTCGATGATGTGATGTGGGCCGGGAGCAAACAGTCAAGAAAGAATTCTTGAGATGTTTCGGTGCAAAAAAGTGCTTTTATTGTAGCATGGGAACAGGACCCGTGGGCAGAAGGAGCTGCACTGGGGTCGTGAGGAGTAGCTGATTATATCCCTTCTAGTTAGTGGG